TGGGAAGCCATCTTATTTCTTGCCTGAGGGACTGGAATGCACTGTAACATAATGTAATCTTTAAAACATAATGATACACAGACAACTGTGAATACAGTGCACACAATCCGACATTGACAAACTGTCCGAGGGGTGATGGAATATAAATGGGACTGACAAGCTTTCCAATTGCACTGAGGTTTAGGTATTTTAAAAACCAAACTGCTGAAACCATTTTAATGCAAGTGCCTGTGCGAGACTTCCAAAGCCCATTTTATAAAAACATCTGAGAACACAATATTGCATTGTGTTGTTATATAAAGTTACCAAAATAGGTCTAACTTGAACCCAACCTTATTAAAAAAAAATCACTATTTGAAAAGAGAACAGAGATGTTAATTTAGGAAAGAAAATGACAGCTACATCTTCTCATGCACTGAGAAAAAAGCAGCTATCGGGCAAGAATTTCACATTTCTGCAGGCCCCCCCCGTTTACCTGGGGAACCCTGTGCCACAGGCTTCTCTCTCTCTCGGTTCTGTACCTTTCCCTGCCCCTCGCAGGGCCTGTGCCCTGGCCTCTGCCTGACCTCGGTGCCCTCGCCGGCGCCTGGCTAATTCCTAATCCAGTTAGTTATCATTCCTTGTTCTCCCTCCCTCTCTGCTGGCTACTTTTCATCAAAAATTAAGCATTTTTCCTATTCTCTTTAATGCCTTAGTCTCAAAAAAAAAATTGTTTTCCTCACTCCAGGTTTTGTGCCATATTTTATTCATGCTACTATAACTGTGCTTTTCCCCCAGCCCCACTTCTAACATCACAGGAATTATCAGGGTTTCCTGTGTTTGAAAAATATACTTCTAGAATATGAAAATATCTAATGATTCTACTGAAATCTATACTCACAAGCCTAGGAGAGAAAAATATTTTAAATTATTAATAGTCATAAATTATATCTTAATAGTATATAATATTTAATTTTTAAATCACCCCAAATAAAAGTGTGTGTGTGTATATCGCAATAAAATTAATAGTACCTACCACATTAAAAAATTATTTTTAATGAGAGAGGGAATTTCAGGTTTGGCGAAATAGAAAAGATGTATTTCTGGAAGGGAAAGCTAAAAGTTATAAAATGTCACTTCTCCTTAATTAAATTCACGGCTTTATTACACACAAAATTAATATTCAAACAGATCTATCCTTGAACTTTTCAAAAACTTCCAAAGGTTTATCTTTAAGAAGAAAGTAACTGAGAACTTAAAAAGTGTATTCAGGAAGCCCTAGCTGGTGGCTCAGTGGTTAGAGCATCGGCCCCAGACACCAAAGAGCCTCGGGTTTGATTCCCGGTCACGGGCACACACCTGGGTGGCAGGTTCAATCCCCACCCAGCTGGGGGACGGGCTAGCAGGTAACCAGTCGATGTGTCTCTCACACTGATGTTTCCCCCACACACTCTAAAAATCAATGGAAAAAATATCCTCAGTTGAGGATTAACAAAGAAAAGTATATTCGGGAATATAATTGGAGAAAAAAAGCCTTACCTCGTATTACAAAATACAAATTATACTTTAGAGTCAAAATAATGCAATGCGATCATCAGAAATGGATAAATTGATCAATAGACTAGAGTCACAAAATAAAAAATTTATTTTATTTTTAAATAATGAGGCTTTCATTAAATACAAATGAAGCATTCTGAAAAAGTAATAGGTCAATTAATTCCTAAAAATTCAGTTCCCTTTGTTGGGGGGTAGGGAATAAGAAACGTGTGTGCTCCCAGCAAAGTTCTCAGTAATTCCAGGGTTCTATTTTGACACATTCCCTTGAGGCGCCTCAGGATCAGCCTCAAAGTTCACCCTTTCTCCCAACAAAGTGGCTTTTTCTCTGATGCTCCTATCAGAAGGGTTCACCATAATCCTTCAAGCCCCCCAAACCAGAAAACATTTTTGTGATGGGTGATTATAATTTTCCTATATAGATATCATTTACATTAAAAATATTCTTTATATATCTAACAATAAAAATTCTGCATGTATAATACTATTCAAAGGGTGAGATCATCAAAATGTTTTGATTGACAGCAGAATAAATATTTTCTGATTATATTTAAAGATACTTACATTACTCCCTGTACACTATGTAGTAGATGTAAAACTTTCCACAGAAATTCATAAAGGTGCTATTTTCTGGGACAATTTCTCCTGACAATATAAGAGTTGATGATATTATACTACTTTATTCCCTATTGAAGAATTTTCTCCCATAAATCTGCTTGCATTCAACCTATTTTATGAAGCCGTGCTTCAATTAATGTAATTCATATGAAAACAGACATTACCATCATTTGTGAAAAATTTCATATATGTATATCTTATTTCTTAAATCAGATTATAACAGGCTATTTCAATATTACCACTGTGTCTCTTACATAGGTCACAGACGCAGATTTTTAGAAATTCTTTGTTTTGGAAGTAAAACAATATTAAGAATATTGAATGCTTATTATGTGTTAGACTGACATATTTGTGGTCACTTAAATTTCTCAACAATTCTACAAAATAAGTTTTTTTCATATCTATATAAAATAATTTATTTAATGTAATTTGTCTAGAATTTGAATGACTTTAAATTTAAAGGTTTTGCCCTAATATAACTTTATTTCTGTTTTAGAAAGTGATAAAGGATAGTAAAAGAGATCACTTTGCTATGCCATTCATAATGGTACTAAACATATAACTGAGATTAAAATATCTGTCATTCTTCAAATATGCATGTTGAAATATGAGAAAGAAGTTGTTGCCAATACTTTAACCCAAAAAATAAAAATATGTAGTGCATGTAAAGAATATACGTTAGATCATGGCAACTATGGCATTGACTTCTGAAAATGACAGTTTAGTATTTGAAATAAAACGTGCTAGAAGTTTCTGCAGTGGATATCCATGGTGATGATGAATTTGTATGAACATAATTAAACAGTGTTGCAAATTAATTCTGAATGTAATTAAACTATTATGGAGTTGTTACCATTATGGAGTTACTATCATTTTGGTGTAGCAGAATTTGGTAATTTTGATTTTGAAGAGAGATACACCTTGAGAAAATGAAAGTAATGCTAATATTTTTGCTATTCGATAGTAACTATTTGGCTACCTTACCATGACTAAAATTTTAGGAAGACTGATACTTCATAGGTATCAGAAATGTTTTGTGAGATTCTCCCCCCGCCCCCCATCAAAATTAACTGGGAAAAGAAGAAATGTAGAAGCAAATAATAAAGAGCAAAGAAGAATTTGGGAATACAGGAGGGAACTTAAGCATGTACTTTGTTTTAGACAGTACTGCTACTTTATATATGTATCTTCCATTTGATACAAAGAACAATGTTATATTGGTATTTATAGCCATGAAACATAAAACAAATACAAAGCATAAACTTCATTTGTATTATACTCTGCTACATCCATTAACAGGGTATATGTTTCCCTTTATTTTGGTCTTCTTTATTTTTTACTGGCAACATTTTTTAGCATATGGTTCTTTCACATATTTTATCAGGATTATCTCTCAGCATAAATTTTTCATAGAAGCCATTTATCATGATTAGAATGTTTCCTTCAACCCCTAATTTTTTGAGAGATTTTTGCTTTTATAAATTAGGAATGGATGCTGAATTTGTTGTGCATTTTTCTGTTTCTACCAGGATTATCATACATTTTTCCTGTTTATTTTGTTACTATAATAAATCACATTTAGTAATTTACAAACGTTAAAATAGCCTGGAAAGTATTTGACCACTGTTTCTTCAAGTAATCTTTTTTCTTCATCTTTTTCTCCAATCTAATTATACGGGTTCGACTCATTGAAGTTTCCCTAAAATTCACTGGTGCTCTGTACTTTTTGCAATTGTCTTTTCTCTGTGATTTTGTTTTGCATAGTTTCTGTGGTTGCACCTTCATGTTCTGCCATGTCTAATCTGCTGTTAATCTGTCTCGTGGGTATTTTTCTCTTTTGCTCTCTCTTTCTCTAATCTCACACATTATAGCTTCCATCTCTAGAAGGTTAATTTAGGTCTTTTTTATCTTTTATATTACAGCTTAACTTTTTAAATATATGGAATACAGGTATCAATGTTTTTGTTTATTTGTTTTTATGTCCCTGTATGCTAATTCTAGCATCTATGTCAATTTTAGTTTGATTTTGATTAATTTATCTCTTCATTATGATAATTACATCTTGATAATTTATTGTTGGATGCCAGACATTATAAAATTTATTTTTTTGAATAATGAATAATTTCATATGCCTACAAATAGTTTTGAACATTCTTTTCAGGTACAATTAAGCTACTTGGAAACAGTTTGATCCTTTTAGGTCTTGATTTTAAGATTTTTTTATGTGCTATCAAAGAGCTTTTCAGTCTAGTCTTGCCTCCTCCTGATACTAAAACTTCATTAACATTTTCCCACTGCCTCATGTATCATGAGGTTTCCCAGTCTGGCTGGTGGAACAGCCACAATTTCCACTTAGCGTTAGCACTGAGCCCTGATATTTTTGTACCTTTTGGCTCTTTCCTCTGTCTTGGGTAGTTTTTTCACGTGTTCACTGGTCATTACTCACCTGAATACCTGAGAGAGACTCACCAAAGCCCTTCAAAGATCACTCTCGGTGCAGTGATTTCGCTCTCCAGTCTTCCGTCCTGCCAACTCCTGACTTCTAGACGCTCACTTACATCCTCAAGTTATACAGACCCCTGTGCTCTACCAGGATCCTCCTTTCCTGAGCCATGACGTGGAATATCTCACACCGAAGAACGTTCCAGCCACCACAAGGCTCACCTAATTTGTTTCCCTTTGTTATATGATATCTATTGTCTTACAAATAATTTTTTCCTGTCGTTTGCCCAGTTTTGGGTGTTTCAGGCAGAACGGTTAATCTAGTTATTACATGTTGGCTGGAAGTGAAGGTCTCCAGGTTGCCCTTTGTTACCAATTTTATTTTCTGACCCCTTCCTTTCTCACAGATCTACATACGCTGAGACGCACCACTCCCACCAGGTTCAGGACTTCACTCTATCCAGACAGAATATCAGCGTTCTTCTTGAGAAAGGTAAAATAATTTTTAAATTTCCCATAAACTTACCATGCCCTTAATGTCACTTACCTGCACATTTCTTTTATTCCCAAGGCACTTCAAACTCAAATAACTTTATATGATATACTTCCTTTTTCCTGGCCCTACTCCTCTGAGGAGAGGCCAGAGTTTCTTCCGCAGACGTTTTCTATGCTATTGTTATGCTCTAATATCTTCATAAAATATATCAGAAATAACTTATTTATGTGCTTTATTTTGTGCATATTATCATATCCACTACGGATGCCCTACCCTGAGAATGTAATTTCCTTAAATGAAAGAATTTAATCAATCTTGTTTACTCCTGTATCACAAGAGTCTGAAAATTGCTTAAAGTGTATTAGACATTCAATAAATATTTGTTGACTAATGGGCAAATGCTAATCAAACTTTTAATTGTAAATATCAGCATTTTAATGAGTTATTAAAAATAAAATTGTACATAATATCAACAGGCAATGTTTATAAAAAGATGTAACAAAATGCATAAAAGAATCTAAAATAAAGATATAATTTTATTTAAAGTGTGTGGAAAAATAATGAAGATAATAGATTGTAACTATGTGTTTGGAAGAAAATGTAAGGAAAATGAGATATACAAAATGATGGATGGCCTCATTTAAAAAGGATTTTCATAAGTCAGCTAATAAGCACTAAATATGCTCTGTGAATGAAGGGGCAGATTTTTAAAATGATAAGAAAAGTTAATGAGGTAAAGCAAAACCAAAACGCACATCCTGGCAATAGAAAAACAGAGTTCTAAGGCAACATTCCAAGGCAGTAGGGTCAGGAAAGCACACTAAAAAAATAAAGCAACAAGCAAATAAAAACCATTGGAAAATAGTTTAGATGCACCCTTCCAATATTAATGCGTATAAGCGTTTATGCTAATGCGACAGTGTCTAAGGGATATTTAATGGTCATGTGTGTTCTCCTAAAATATGGTTCTTATTGTGGAAATTGATATTAATCTAAATTCTCTTCTTCCCCTATGTCAACGAATAAAGAAGAATAGCAACTGTCATGCAGTTTTCAAAAAATATTCCATAAACCAAAATAAGAATAAATGATAAATAGGGTATATGTCCAGTAGGACTCTGCTGATAATTCATTTTCCACACACCTCTAGGTGCTACGGTGGTTTTTAATAGATTCTCCAGGGCATGTTCTGTCGTGTGTTTTGGACTAAAAGCTGACACAAAGGAAAAATGCTGGGGGGGAAAGCGGGGCGGCTCAGCCCTGGGTGAACGATCTGAGGAATGATGGAATTGTTTTTCTTTCTGGGATGGAAACAAGTTTTGTTTGTACTGTTGTTCCCCATTTTTATTGTCATAAGTAACGCTTGCATTTTCAGTGAAAGAGCTTGTCTCATTCTGACAAATACCCATTGAAAGTATATAGGAAAGCAGAGGAGATGTAGTAATTTTTTAGAGGGGAAAAAAAAAAAATGCAATGAAAATGACTTATGTTCCTTCCGCCCTGAGAGTATTATTCAAACCATTTGGTTCTGCTGGAAACCCACGGTCTTTATAAATCTTTCCTGTTATAAGGGACTCCTCTTACCTTGCTTAACAGAGTTGTTAGGTTCTCGCTGCTTCATGGTCCTTCGAGGTGAGAATTATGGTGGAGTTGGTGGAGTTTATACCAGTGCTTCTGTTGTTCTGTGTCAGGTGAGGGTAATGTCTGTTTCTACGCTCTGGTCAGTGCCCCTGGTTTTCTTTCTTTGTCCTGTTCTTGGGCTCCTCACTGTCCTCCGTTAAAAACTGTCATTTGACTGATACTCTCATTCTAAATGACTGCCAGATACTGTGAAATATTGGGAGAAAATGACTATGTAATGCTACAAAAGGGGAGAAAGAAAATATGGGAAAGGGGTAGAGAAAAGATGGCAGGATTGCAGGAGAGAATTAGATATGCAGACGGGGAGAAGAGAATATTCAGAGATATTAGCCGGGTAAAGAGAAGACAAAGAAATAAAATAATGGAAAACTTAACAAGGAGGGGTCAGGGCCAGGAAAAATAAGGTATATGATGTAAAATTATTTAAGTTGTGAGGTAAATTGGCAATAAAGGAAATTCTCAAGTAAGTGGTATAAGGTGATGAAAAGGCTATGGGAAATTCAGAAATAATTTTCCCTTTCACAAGAAGGACATGGATTCTGCTGTCTGGTTTACCTGAAGGAAATAGTTGTCTATTTTCTAAGGAAAGTTGGACATATTAAGTTTAGTTATTTTCAGAGAACTTTCCCTGACAAACAGTTTAATGTTGTCAAGTTGTCAAGAATAACTGTATGCTCACTCCTCTATTCATTTGTCTGTTCACTCAGTGAATTGGTACTATTTATGTATGATGTATTGGGCACCCAGAAAACATGAGACTAGGAAGAGAAATATATTCCCCGGCAAGCTGGTGATGATGGTACATCAGACTGGGAGGGAGCAGTGCTGGCGAGGACAAGAGAGATGATTTTGGATGTGTATATATATACATATATATATATATATTTTAAATATATCTTTATTGATTTCAGAGAGAGGAAAGGAGAGGGAGAGAGAGACAGAAACATCAATGATGAGAGAGTCATTGATCGAGCCCGCAACCCGGGCATGTGCCCTGACCGGGACTCGAACCCCGATCGCCTGGATCCTAGGCCGACACTCAGCCACGCCCGGCCGGGCCAGGCTTTCTTTTTTAAACATCCTGTAATTTGTCACTTTACTGAGGGATTCTGTATTCCGTCTTAAGAGTTACAGATTTCACTCTTCATTTGGTTTAATAAAACCCATTTCCTGGGACTAAAGAAGGACATCTTGTTGAGACACCAACAATTCTGAGTCATCGATTTGAATATCACTGAATTTCCCAGAGCTTTTTTGCATGAGCAGTAAGCCAGCTCTTCTCCATATTTCATGTTTATAATTAGCTATCGCAAATGGTTTTTGAGGTAGGTAAGGTCTATATTATAAATTCATGAAGCCGTAAGTTAATTTTAATGCAACATTTGATTGACCTTAATTGCCAGAATATGAAAAAATTCTAACCATTATTTTTCTGGTAAGTTATAAAAATTCCTATCAACTTCTACTCTTGTCATGAACTTAAATAAGAGCCCCTTTTAACAGACTAAGCTATTAACTCTTTGAGTAAGATGATCATCCATTCTTAGCTTTATATAGTATTGTCCTCTCAGGGTATCGTACTATTTTCCACACTGTAGCATTCGAAGAAAATTTTGTTAAGTTGTGAGGATTTTAGTAAAAATTAAAGTACATCTATTTTGCTTTAAAAATATGCTTAAATTTAACTGTGAATTTTAAAGAGTGAGGGAAAAGTATAGATGTAGTTATACAAATATATATTCAATTATATATGCAAAGAGAATAACCTATTTACCTACACAGAATCCCACTGTAAAAAATTATTACTGTTTAACTAATATTTATACTGTAAAGTCTAATTACTGAAGAAATGCTATTAATGACATTAACACTACTTATGGTAAAACATTACTCATCTTGTTTGATGAAAGTACAGAGTGTTTGACAGTCTCCAGAGTGTCATCCAGTTACAATCATCACTGAAATCCGACAGATATTATCTATGTTACAAGAAGATACAGCTCTTACTTACTGACACATTCTTTATACCTTGAACAGAAACGTAAGAGGGAAGACAGTGTCTTAGGTGTCTGACAAAAGGCAATCATTTTAGAGTTGGATCAGCAGCATTTTTTCCCAAAACAATGCATTCTCTTCTAAGTTAAGAAAAAAGTCATTTGGGTTTCTCCTACATTATAAATTGTTTTCCTATGAAAAAAATTAATACCAAAAATGTTCCCTAAATTCATTGAAGTAGAAATCCTGGAGAAATTCGGAGCACATGAATTATTTTCTAAATAGCCAGATAAATAATAATGTTAATTCCTGGAAAAAAATTGAGATTTTTAGCATTAATTTATATTTAATTTAACCTATAATTTTTCTTCTGTTGATAAGCCCGGATAAAAAACTTATATAAAAAATACCCCAGTAAGAAGAAAGATATTTTTTATATATAATTGACAAATACAATTGTAAGATATTTAAAGTGTACATCATGATGATTTGATACTTGTATATATTGCCAGAGAATTCCTCGCATCTAGTTAATTAAAATATCCATTACCTTGAATTTTCATTTTTTTGGTGAGGACACTTTTCTAATCTTAGCATATTTCAATTATAAACCTTTTTATCAATTGTAGTCACCACGTTATACATTAGATCCTCAGACCTTATCTTACCGCTGATCATTTATACAAGTCACATTTAATAAGCATGCTTTCTACAACATTGAAGCAGTGAGTTCCTAGGCCTGGGATAATTTCCATAGGTCAGCTTTATTCTAGATTGCCCTGATTTGCTTTAATTTGGTGCATTCTTTGTAAGGACCTGTGTGTCCATGACACTGCTTTATGTACTGTGTGTTTGAACATAAAAAAAAGAAGTCATAAACCCTACTACTAGATGCAGACACAAATAACTGGTTACTAATGCTATAGACCAGGGTAGGCAAACATTTTTTTTAAAGTCCAGATAAAAATAGTTCAGAGTTTTGAGCCATATTTCGTTTGTTACAACGATTCCACCCCACAGTTTTAGTTTAAAATCAGTCATACACAACACATAAATAAACAAATGTGGATGTGCTCAGATAGCACTTTACTTATGGACACTAAAATTTGAATGTCATATAATTTTTATGAGTAACAAATATCAAACTCCTTTTTATTCATTTTCAACTATTTAAAATGTAAAAGTTATTCTCCGCTTGCCAGCTACAGGTAGGACTGGATTTGATTCTCAAACTGTCATTTGCTGACAATATAGACAAAAATGCTATAGAGATATAAAAACAATTTAGGTAATTCAACATGCACGTTAGGTGATAATATAAAATGCAGAAAAATTACTGACAGAGTCAGAGGTGGATTCTT